TTCATCATATAAAATGTATAAAATAATTCTACAGATAATTAGATATTCGAACAACATTTGAAATATCTTAACGTTCAAAGAAGTCTTATTTTGAAAATTAACTGATCAAACAATCTGCAATGATATATTAATTTTATCTGCAATAATATATAAATCTTATCTGCAGTATTATATGAATTAAGTTTCAAATTTTGATTCGTTTTAGAATAATAATTAACTTTCGAGAGTAAGTTATAAAAAAAATAACATTATAAGAAGACTACAGGTTCATTCCATAAGTTTATTTGATAGACTAAAATCATTCTTTTTGTAAGAGAGAAAGAAATATACAAGGTGTCCGAAAAGTATGACTACACTATCAAATATTAATTACAAAAAAAACACAAATATAAAGATATTCCCTTACAGCTTTTTTGTTCCATAATGAAAACATTAAAGTTTTCTTTGTTTTTTCCCCATAGCCACTGTAATTCGACTTTTTATTTCATAATTGCAGATGTTTTTCCCGCTTCCCTACAAGAAGTCCAAAGGTGGTATCTCTAGAGATCTGGGTGGCCACGCTATTGAACTTTCTCTCTTTCCCTCCATCGCACCAGGAACTTTTTTTTACATCCAAACTCCAGTGTGGTGGTGTCCATTTACGCTGTACACGTGTTGCAGATTTAAATTCGATAAACCGTGGGCATTTTCTTATGGTGAAACTCTTTTGAAACTTGAATGTTGAAAAACAGGGACATTGTGCCATCTAAATTGTATTTCATTAAACAGAAACTTTAATCTTTTCTTTATGGAATATAAAAAAGTGTAAGAGAGAGAAAATCTTTGTGTGTTTGTTTATTTCTAATTAATTTCTGAAAAATGTAGTCATACTTTTCGAGCACCCTATATATTTATCTATTATTATAGAATGTTTTTTTTTATATAGTTTTGAAATAACATGATCCTAGAAAAGATTGCCTTCTTTACACGGCTTTTTTCCACTCCAATACAATTTAGGATCTCTGATTGCAGCTGCTGATTGCTTTATATTGCAGCTCATTTTCTCAAAGGAAAGGACTCTGAGTTAGTTCATTTAGTGTCATCACTTGCTAGTGAGAAAACGTAATGCACTCACGTAATGTTTTCGAATGTTTCATCATCTAATCAGATCATTTTTAAAGTTTCATTAGGTCGTAACATTTTCATCAGAATAAAGTATATAGCTCCAGCTACAAGGTTTATTTTTTCTCAAAGATTTTTGAAATTTTTATTACAATTTCAATCTCAGATAAGGAGTAAAAATGCTTAAAATTTAATGGACAAGAAAGGAAAAAAAGCTATTTTTTTAAAAATAAAAACATCGCAAATTACTAAAGAAGGTAAGTGCTCAATATCTGATAACAAAAGTTTTCAGTTGTCTCAAAGAATAGCTACTCTAAGATCTTTTAAGAGAAATTAGGAGTTTGTATGAAAATCTATCATATGTGCGGATTCCAATTCAGTTCCAGAACATCATCATATTGTACAGATACTATTTTAAAAGGGAAAACAATTTTTTAGTGCCTTTGGATATATTATTTGAATATTCTTTCTTCAGGCAGTATGTTTGAATTCCTTCGATTTTATTTTAGTATTGGTTGTATGAGTTTAATATTAATGTTGAATACAAAAATGTCTTATGTTAATTATAAAAATATTTTATACATATAAATATAAACTCAAACTCAGTGGCGCAACAACCCATGAAGGCCAAGGCCTACTGTGCCCATCCCAGTATATGTGACCATTGGGTGCTAAGGTGCATGAGCAGATGTCACGATCAGGTGATCAACCTGAAGCGAGACCCCTAGTGTTTAAGTCCCCAAGCAAGCTTGGTACTCATTTATCGACCCACTGCAGTAGGGATGACAGGAGGACATATAAATATTGAATATATAAAAATGTAAATACAAATACTTAAAAACTTATAGTTGAGTTTTCATCCCTTCGCTTGTTTCGAAGTTCGTAGTGCGTGTATATGGGGGGGGGATGTCAGTGGTGTCCGTTAAAATAAAGATGTCTTCAGTTAACTTTGAATTTAATTGTTCACGATTAATATATTTGCAAATTATTCACAGATTATAGATCGTCATTTATATTATCTTCTGTAATTCTTAACAGACACGAGGGATCTTCATTATTTTTCTTTGTGTCATGGCGTCTTCTTCGAGCATCTAAAGTCAGTCTCGCTCCGACAACAAGTTGTGTGCCATCAATCACGCGCAGAAACGTTCAGTCCAGAACAGACGAGGCTTGTCAATAGTGACCGGCACCATAAACCCCAGATCATAACTCATGGTTAAGGGCCTGTGTGGCGAGAAATAGTGAAAGCAGGATCGGCACGCTACTCTGGGCGTCTCCAGACACGTCTTCGATTATCGTCAGGACATAGTTGGAAGCGGGATTCGTCACTAAACATTATACGTCCTCAGTCAGCATGATTTCAACCTGATAGAGCCAAGCACCACAGTTATCTGGCTCGACAGTGTGCAGGCGTGAGTGGCAGGTGGAGTAGTGATCGGTACGAGCGTAAATTTCGCTCTATCAGCCATCTGTGAATAATCCTGGTGGACACTCGTATGCGGGTCGCACGTCTGATGGTTGGTAACGATGAATCAGGCTCTGTGACAGCTGATCTGACAATCAATCTGTCCTCCAAATCTGCTGTAACCCTAGGTCAACCTCTACCATCATGACGCTGAAATCTGTCACTGTCCATCCATTCCTGCCAGCATCTTCTAATAGCCGCATCGCTTCGACCTATTTGATGAGTGATTCTACGATTTACCCAACCTGCCTCTTTCAGTCCAATGATACGACCTCTTTCAAACTCTGATAGTTGCTCGTAATGATCTCGAATCCAGCAGTGAATCATTTTTTCAGTCATTTAAAGGTATCCTAAATCGCAATGCAACAGAAATTTTGACCATCAGATTGAGAATTGCTTCTTATAAACACCTGCTGAGGTCGCAGTTCCGATGCACTGTAGCTCCCGCTACTTATTCTTTGGACACCAAAATTTTAATCATCTGCTTGTTCGGTACAAATGTCTTTGTACACGAAATTTCATTACAATCAGGCAACTCCTTTTTGGTGCTTCGGTTTTTTTTTCTGTTATAGTGTGTATATATAAGTTACCATTTTGATTTGTCTGCTTCGGAAACTTTGTTTAAGTTGAGTTGCTTATATAAATACACAAGTTTGCTTAAAGGTCACAAACTCGTATTCTTTACATAGTTTCATTTCATAAATATAGCTATATATTTTTGTCAGCTGATTTCATATTTAAGTATTTTCTTTTCCATTGCACCCGCTATGTGAGAAATTAGTTGTTTCTACAAAACGCTGGAAATGCCACAAAAACTTAAAAAGTATCGGCTTTACCTCTGCATATTTTTTACAAGATGTAATTACAATAAACCTCTTTAAGACCCTGCCCACACGTTCGTGAACGTTCCAGGAGGTAGCAAAACTTATTTTATTATTTTTTCAGTATCATTGGCGTCAGTACAGTGTTAATACCAGAAGAATGTAATATTCTAAGATAAAAATATTTTGGGTCTTAAAGGGATAAAAGAATATCTAACCCGCACGATCGTGTGAGATGTGTCTTAAAGGGATAAATGCATAGATTCATAAGCATACAATATGTATCTCTTCCTTCTATGCTATTTAATTCATTGAAAATTTCAGATTAAAAATATTGATTACAAATATTTTTTCTTTTCATTTTTGCAGAGTCCATTTTAAATTTATAACTTTTAAAAGTATAAAAAAACGAGTAGAGATATTCAATTAAAACTGTCTGCTTGATAATAGAAGTTACAGGCCTGCGGCATACTCTCATGAACTTCGTTCAAAGCCACAATAATAAAATCTGCAATTTATTTATACATATATATATAAAATTTCAGTGAATGTGATATCATGTATGATTGAACGTAGATCAGTCTTTTTCTCGATGGGTGTGTAAAATTTCAAAAGATAATTACTCATATATATCGAGTACTCGATCTATAACTAAAGACACGTTTACTTTAATACGTATAAGTTTCGAAGAATTCCGTCTGATTCTAATCCGTTCAGACAGCCATAATGTGGTCTTGCATTGTAAAATGTTTCACTACGTAAAGATTTGCGATTTTACACATCGTATACTCCGGGGTGTATATATATATAACGCACACCCATACTTTCAAACTGCATTTTTTAAGTATTACGTATATTCGCCGTACAACGTGTATCTTTTTTCGATTCCTACTATTAGTTCACTCTCTCCATATATATATCTTACTCAAATTTTCAGTCGTTAATAAAATACTTTCCATTCATCCATTCAAGATCAAATACATTTTTTTTAAACTTATAGTGAATGACTCTTGATGTTAATACAGTTTTTTCAAATATTAATTCATTAATTAAATTAAAAAAATCAATAAATAGTAACAAACAAAAGTATTAGTCCAACAGCATATTTAGAAAGGAAAATCATTCGTTGTGTCCCTGAAGTGCTATGGATAGCGCGTTGGACTTTTAATCCAAGGGTCGTGGATTTGAATCCCACCAGGGATGGCCTAATTTCTGAGAACGTGATTTCTTTTTTACTATATACTATTTTATTAGAAAAATTAAATTTAATTCATGAATAAATAGTTACAAACAAAAAGATAGTCCAACACCCTATATAGAAAGTAAAATGGAAAACTTCAAGGAAAATCGCTATCTATTTTGTCACTTAATATTGTGATTCTGTCATATGTATATACATATTCATATTAATTGTAACTATTTAATAAAAAGTAACTAAAATAAAAATTTTCTTTGTTCACCTAAGTAGGAATTGACATAATTTTTTTTATATTACTTGTTACGCGAAGAAATATGGAACTGACACTTGGAATGCTCTTACGTTTTAAAGTCTAGGTATAGTATGTAAGTCAGTGCTTCTCAAACTTTCAATACTTGCGATCCAATATTTAATCATAATTTTCTTCTCTCCACCCTCCATTCAATAACAATGTATTGAATTCGAAAATACGATACTTTGATGCTAAAGCTACCATACGACTTTAACCCCTTAAGTGTCACCGGCGTATATAAATGTCTCGCTCAACCAGTGCGTAAATTGTCCACACGTATATATACGTCTTTTCAAAATATGATCTTTTCTGATCACTCCTATCTTTAAAATTATTTCGAAAGTTTTGGAATGCAATAAAATAATCTTCACAGTGTTTGCGAAGGATTTACTTATTTCAGAGGATTTACTTATTTATTCCCTTTCTCGTCCCATCAATGCACCACATATTCGTGCATACGTGCAAAACGGTGGCATTGGGGAACGCATTTTAATCGGCAATTAAGGAATTAATTATAAACTGTACAAATTATCAATATAAGTGTTAATTTTTGCATATAATTTTATATATGACAAGCCCGTTGGGTCACTGGTAATTATTAAATTTGTTCTTAACCTAGTATTGCTAAATTAATGATAAAATACATTGTGCAATACTGATACATTTATATGTATATTATATCAGCGTAAATATTTTTTTTTAAATTTTTTATTATGTCAGAATGTATAATTTGTTTACTTTCAATAAATTAATAATTTTTAAAATATTCTTTTGTTTTCGACTTTTTAATATGCTCACTCCCCCAGTTTGAGAAGCGCTACTGTAAGTGGATATTTAAAGCAAGAAATGAAATTAAACTTGACATAATTCAAAAATCATTTAAAAATATAGTACAGTAATACCTCGACTTACGTGAAGTCGGAGTAACGTAATTTTCAAATCTCATCGATTTTTTTTTCAATACTGAAACTCAGACGGAATCAGTGCCAGAGCCTGATGAAATTGGTAATTTGAGATTAAAGAAGTTGTCAATCTTGCCAGGCAGAAGTGAATTGTGATAACATTCAGGAACTGCTGGATTCCCAAAATCAGGAGATGTCAATTAATGAGCTCATAGAATTGCATGAGCAAGACATTGAAGAACGAGTCTTTAGACCCAGTTCAATCAGAAAATGGAATGACTGTTGAGAATTTGACAGAAGACCTCAGTTTAATAGAAAAAGGGTTACACAAAAATATTAGAAAAGACATACTTCAAAGAAGAGTGCATTTTTTTCCCACAAAACAAGGAATAAAAAAAATTATTCGCACGCTACGAGGAAATATTTTAAGAGAAAAAAGTCTTGGAGCCTTTTTCTTGTTAGAGATTATGAAACTTTTACATCAAAATAGCTTTGTTTTGATATTTTGTATTTGTGTTATCTCAGACTTAATTAAGCATATTTTTTCTAAATTATTATTTTCTTTTGTTTCCTGCCCCAACTGAAAATAATTTATATGTATTTATATGCGAAATTATACCCCGACTTAGGTGAATTCAACTTACACGGTTATCGCTCAGTCCCACCTATCGCGTAAGAGTGCGGGGTATTACTGTACATCTAAAAATCTAGATGGAATGGAAGATGGTTATTTATTTATGGATCAAATTATTAGTGAAGGTGAAAAAATAAAAGAGAATTCGACGATGTGCATATAGATATAACAGAAAACGAGTATGAGGATTTGCTTATGTTATCAAATAATGAAAGTTTATAAGGTATATCTCTCTCATTTCTTTTCAACAAACAGTATTTAGATACATACAGTAATCTATTTTTTTTCTATGCTCATATTTTCTTTATTTTTAAAGCTATCATTTTTATACCCGGTATATAAAGGGCTCTTGTACATTTTGATCCTATTTTTGTTTTAAAACGGTGTGCAAAAGTACAAGCAAATTTTATCGAGAAATCAACTTCATCACCAAAGAAAATACTGACACCTGAAATCTCACTTTCTCTCAACCAGAATCAATTTACATCATTCTCTTAAGTTATTGACTTGATAAATCAAAAATTAACTTTTCGAGATATAGCATACATTTAAGATATCCGACTATGTTCGGAACCGTAATTTTGCAAAAGCGTATAAATGGATAACTTTTATGATATTTAGTGTCACTTAGATTAGAAAATGTATATAAAATTGTTTTAATAATATTATTACAGTAAAAAAATTATTTAAGTACAATATTTTAACAAAAAAGGAACATAGAATGACCCATTTTCAAAATATACTCCTTTTGTGAAAAATGCTTCCATTATAATAATATTTTGCCCGTATATAGCTCAGACCTCTCTACAGAGGCTCAAGAAGAGATTCTTTTAAATATATAACTTAGGAGTGGGTTTATCCATATTTTACGACAACAGAGGGGAGAAATTTTAAGAAAAAAACGCCGATAATTATATTTCAATGGGTGGTAACTCTGAAAATATTGTGAATTTTTCAAAAATCATAGTTCAGACTCTCTGGAGAAGTCTTTACTTTATATAAGCGCGCGCGAAATATTATTATTTCAGAAGAATTTTTTATAAAAGGAGAACATTTTGAAAAAAAATTATTCTAAGTTAACTTTTTGCCAAAATAGTGTATTTAAATAATTTTTTTTGTCAAAATCTCCTTAAAACAATTTTATACATGTATTCTAATCTAAGTGACACTAAATATCATGAAAATTATCCATTTATGCTCTTTTTTAAAATCATGGTTCCGAACGTATTCGGATACCTTAACATTATTATACATTCACCTGATTTACTTATGCATTTAGAATTTACTTAATTTAAGATGTAAGTAATAATTAACACGCTGAAAAGTTCCCTTAAGATTTTACTATGCTATGAGTACTGATTTTACTATGCTACTTGCTATGCTACTTACTATGCTTAAGTAACTATGCTATGAGTAAAACTTACGTTTAGTTTTCAGAATGTAGTAATATATAGCATCGCCACAAAAATTTATTTCCAAAAGGGAGCAAAATTTAAATTGCACTAAACAAAAAAAGAGTTTTTAATTATTTTAAACATACAAATGATAGTTTGAAAGTTTTTGTATTTATATAGCAAAATCTCTAAGCAAAGGAAGATGGGTCATCTCTTTCATGCTTTATTTAATGGATACATATCATTATTTTTATTTGTTTGAAGTAATTGAACATTGTTCGATCCAGTATTTTATTCAAGTATGCACTTATTTAATTTTTTAACCCGTAAAGTTTTTAATTCATAATAATTCCTTGTTATTAATTTAATATATTTTTACTAAATACAACTTCTCTTTGTCCAGTATTGTTTATAAATGAATTATTTTTTTTAAATGCGACTATACTTATTCACTAAAACTCATACATGTACATTTCCCCGTTTCTGAAGTCTAAATAAATTACCTAACTGTATGCATTCATGTTCAAAATATATGCAGTTTTAAATTTCAAAAAAAGTAATCCATATGTTACACTCTTTTAATTACACTAGTGTTCAGACTACAGAGAATTTTTAGATTTTGTCGATTGTCTCTAGAACTACTGATGAGAAATTAATGACCCACGACCTGCCTTACAATGTCCGAGAAATCGACCCATACGGCAGAGGAGACTTGATCCTCTGAGAGAAATCACGTTGGATGGCCGCACACCCCTCCATGTACTGTGATTGCTGTGTGATATAAGGATGAGGTCTTGGAGCCCTAAGTTTGCCTTTTCACAGGTACAGTTGACCCTGATTTTATTTTAATGGATGACAACGTGAGGTATCTGGTCGACGAATTTCTTGAAAGGGAGAATATTCGTCGAATGGATTGGCCAGTTAGATCTCCAGACCTCATCCCTATAGAGCATGCCTGGGGTGCTCTAGGAAGGGCAATTGCAACTCGCAACCCCTCTCCGAGAACCATTCAAGGAGTTTCTGAACGCGAGGGTGGGATTAATTACGACAAGAACTCATAAATGACTTTATTCCTAGTATAAAATCACAGTGTGAGACCTGTTTATCTGAAAGATAAGATCATTAACCAATTTTTTTTTAATATTCTTCAAATGCTCTTTTATACCTTCGAACACCGATGAGTGTTACGTATGATAATGCTTGTGTATTTTATAACTGTTGAATGGTTGCTTTTTTTGCCTCGACCCTATATACTTACCAAATTTCGTTAAAATCTTTCCAATAGTTCTAGAGATAATCGATAAATTCTAAAAAGTGTCTTAATTTCGGACACCAGTGTAGCTATCCCGTTCAATCAATGTTATTCCAATTTATACATAAATTAAAAGGACTGGATTTGAAGCATTTCTTTACACTTCGATTTTTCTATCAGAAGTAAGTTAAACTTGCTTCTGTATGCCAACAAATATAGCATTTTTCGAAAAATCATAATCTCTTTCATTCTCTCTATTTAGTGAAACACAATATATTTTTACTTCTTCAATTAATTAAAGAAAAGTTTGTTTTAAAGTCTCCTGGCATTTAAACTATACTGGATGAAAATAATTCTTGCAGTTGCTAGGTCTGCTACTTTATTTAAGTACTTTTTAGTTCCTTGTGAATTTAAGTATTAATTAAAAGAATTTTTTTGTTTTTGTTTTTTTCGAACCAGTTGTACATTTTAAAAGCTGTGCAATTTGTTGTTACCAGTTCAATTTATCTTGCGATTTCAGTCATTAATCAA